ATCATTCAGAAAAGCTATTAACATTATGATGCAGTTTCTTCTACTTTTTAGTTTCTCTGTATTTAAAAACACAGTAAAATTGTACAATTTTAGAAAATTAAGATCATATACGTAACATTTTGTATCCCTTTTCACTTTACATTAGGCCATATTTTTTATCATATTAAAGTATATAATAAAAATATTTTAATGATTGTAAAAAATTCCTTAAATTGTTTTTGCTATACTTTATGTAACCATTATTCTCCTATCACTAGACATTTAGGTTATTAATAATCACACACATAAATCTTTGTATTTCTAATTATTTCCTTATAAGAAAAATCTAGATATGAGATTATTGGGTCAAAGAGTGCATGCAATTTAGTGGCTCTTTACATAGATGGCCCAGTTGACATTCAAAATGATGTACTAAGTTATACTTTCACCAGTGGAGTAGTATAGAATGCATGTTTCGTTTCATTTCATTTCTCACCAGTAGTGGACAAAAGTTTTTGTAATTTTTGGTATAGTTACAGGCAAAATGGCTCTTTAAATTTCCATTTTTCATTACTACTACTAAACATTTTCCACATATTTATCATCTGCATATCCTCTTCTATTAATGTTTATATTGTTTTTCCATTTTTTAAGAAATGTTTTATTGAAGTACAATATACATACATATAGAAAAGCATATATATCTTAAGTGCGAAGCTCAATTTTTTATAAACTGAATACACCCATGTAATAGCACCCAGAACAAAAGACAGAATATTATTAGTATCCCAAACGCTATTTTTGTGTCTCCCTGCAAGTTGTCTAAGAGTAATCATTATAATACCATAAATTTATTCTGCCTGTTTTTGCACTTTTACACATTTTATAGTAATAATTTTATTGTTTTAAAAAGTTAATTTGCATTAATAATAAAACATTCAAATATTATAAAAAATTAACAAGTCATCCAAAAATCATACCACCTAAAGTAACTGTTAACTATGGTGAATATGACATTTCTGTAAGCACTGATGGACAGATATATAGAGAGACGGATAACTTATCCCCTTAGAATGGGATTATTTTACTTTAATTGAAGAAAAAAACTAAAATAAAACTAAAAAAAAGAACCTCCAAAACTTCAGATAAATGTTGAGTATACATAAACCATTATGAGGTGTGAGTTTTATTAAAAACAAAAGCTTTGTTTCAATTTTGCATATTATAGTGATTTCCTACATCGAAAAAAATTAGATGATTAACATTTATTCTCTCATTTTTCTCTCCCCCCCCTCCAGTTTTGGTTCTTTATTTTTATTTTATCATTTACACTCAATTCTATGACCATAATTTCTCTAGTTACTGATTCTATTATTTTGAATCATCCTTTAATTGGTTTCAACAATGAGCAGTGTCCCCACCCCTTTTTTCCTTTAAAGTAAGACTCATAGTTATTTTTGTGTTTGAGCATATCTACATGCAGCCTTAACAGCAAAAAGATAACACAGTTTTCTTGGGTCACACTTTATTTCTTTTATAAAGTTGTAAAAATAACTAACACACATGTGATAAAAATAATAACAGGAAAAACTTAGTGCTTAATATGTATCAGATACTCTTATAAACATTTCATATATGTTAACTCATTTAATATAAACAACCACCCTATGAGGTAGGTAGCATTATTGTCTTTATTTTACAGATGAAAAATCTGAGGCACTGAGAAATAAATTGACTTGCCCAAAGTCACTAATTTGGCGAGACAGAGCTCTGATTGAACACAGGTAGTCTGGCTCAAGAGCTTGTGCTTTGAACTGCTACATTACACTGCTTCTATTGTTTGCAGAGGGAACGTCATGGGAGGAAGGGACAGCAGAGAATGCGACTAGCTTTAAGGGGCAAAGGCCAGGGATGCTAAATGTGCGGCAATGAATAGGGCAGATCCATACAATACAGACTGTACCACTCCCTCACAAAAGTTCTGTTTCAATTTTGCATATTATTGATTGATTTCCTAATGAGAAAAAATGAAATTAGCGTTGAAATATTTTGTTGGACATCCATGAGGTGAAAACCTGTTTAAAATTATTTGATCCTTGAACTATTTCCATATAAGTATAAAGCATTTTTTATTTGCAATGTTTTTAATATGCTCAATTTTCCAGGAATGCAACTACTTTGATTCAGAAAACCTGTTCGGTGTTTGGAAAATCATGTCACTGATGGCAATACCACAACCCATAGCATTTGAGTTGTCAAGGAACACCCCTACTTCAGTATGCATATACAGCTCCCACATTCATGAGTTCTACACGAGTGCCAACATTATTTAACTACTTCACTACATCTTCCACTGTAGTTATGGCCAAGAATTTATAGAACAATGTAAATATTATTTTATTATAAATTACTTTTATTTCTCCTTTCTATTCAACTAGGACAACATGTTGACTTTAAAATTATGGATATGCTCTATTATCTATGAATTTCATTTCAGGATCCAAAAAAGCTCCTAGATTTGTTGAGATCCTATAACATTATATGAGAGTTGTAATTCTTGAGGGTTTCTTTTTTTTTTTTGACTATTTTCCTGTGATGTCTTTAGTCCGCTTCTTTCCAAATTCATACACATCATGAGAAAACTTAAAATTTGGTTGTTTCATCTTGTTCTCAGTACTGTTTTGAGAGCTGGCTGCAGGTGATACTGAGAGACATGCCATTCTGTACCAGAAAATTCAGTTTATTTCTATAGGTTCCACTTTTCAAAGTTATGCCCTTTTCTTTGTTCTACTCCTTTCCGTGTTTGGTTGTTGTTGCTGGTGAGTTTCTTGTTGCCATTCCTTTTAGCACTATTTGATCATTTTGTTAGCTTTTGGGGAGTGAGTGTTGTGATGCTGCTTCACTCAGCTGCGTCACCTGGCGGTCCTTTTGTGCCCAACTTTGGATGGAGTGCTTTTCTTTCCTTTGAAGAAACCATCCCAATAAATATTTTCCTTAGTATAGAAAAGTGAGTCTTTCAATTACTTTGTGATGAATGAAAATTTACTACAAGCTTTTCTATCTCAACTGCATTCTTCTCATAGCTAGTAAAGTGTAAAAGTCTGCTCAGGGTCCATTATTACATATTATATCACTTTGGAAAATATTAATATTCACTGAGTGATGACAATGTGCTAGTCACTGTTCTAAGAGCTTTACATCTGCGGTCCCCAACCCCTGGGCTGTGGACAGATACCAGTCCATGGCCTATTAGGAACTAGGTCGCACTACCGCCTGAGCTCCCCAACCCATCACCCCATTGGTGGAAAAGTTGTCTTCCACGAAATTTAGGAACCAGGGCCACATGGCAGGAGGTGAATGGCAGGCGAGCAAGTGATGCTTTGAAGCTTCATCTGTATTTACAGCCGCTCCCCATTGCTCGCATCACCGCCTGAGCTCTGCCTCCCTGCCCCCCTAACCCTGTCCATGGAAAAACTGTCTTCCACGAAACTGGTCCTTAGTGCCAAAAACATTGGAGACTGCTGATTTATATGCATTATTTCATTAATCTCACAATCCTGTGAGGTAGATATTCTCATAGGAAACTGAGGTGCAGAAGTGTTACATACCAATTTGCCCACAGCCACATAGCTAGTAAGTGGCAAAGCTGAGGTTTGCACCCTGGAGATCTGATATCAGAGCCCAAGTTGTTATTTATTTATTACCTTACTGCCTACCATGTTTTTAGGGGCCACCCATTTCACTCAAGGAAGTAAGTGCTTCACTATACATTTTTTGATTAACACTTTCTCTTTAGAGCCTACCACAAATGCTCAATAAATAATTATCACTTGAATAAATGAAAGATATAACCGCTTATTTTCAATGCTTCCCCCTCCTTTCTTTTAATGTGCCTTTTCCCTTTAGAAACAAGAATGGCAAACTAAAATCCCAAATACCATTCTTATTCATTTCTGATTAGTTTAGAGATAATTTCATTCTGTGCTTTAAAAAGAACATTGTAGCTTAACAGTTTTCACCTGTACTTTCTAAGTGAGCTGACCAAAGCTGAACAGAAATGTAAGTAGCTCTTTTTAGTATTTCATTGCATGGCCCTGATATCATACTTGCTCTGAAGGAGGAATTTTTTTGTAATAATATACAAGAATTAGGCACTTCTCTTTTTGACTTTTGGTAAAAAAGCAGCTCTATGCTCCCTAGCAGCTCAAATCATCAATTATGTACCCTGCCAGCCCTGGGAACCAGATCTAGTCAAGCTACCTGTGCCCATCAAAGCTTACTATTGTATCTCTTAGTTTGTCAGATTTCCGACAACAAATTAACAAGAGGTCAAGCATATCAACAGATTATACATCCTAAGCAGCATGCTTGATTTGGAGTGAACGGTTAATGGATATAATATCTAACACACAAAAAAAGTTATTGCAGTTTCTGATACTAAGATAGGTGGATGGTTTTGGCATTATTTTGTGATAGGCCTCTTGCCTCAATTCATGTCACACCCTATAAATAACACTAAAGAATCTTTTTAAAACACACCAACACAATAAATGTATGAAAACACAAAGAGAAATACAATTTTTGACTTTTAAATGAGGCAGTCATGAATTTTTAATAGCCTATGGTGAAAAAGTGGTGTGGTAAGAATAAAATGATTATGAAAATGAAAGTCTATTAATGTAGAAAACAATTCTTTATGGCAGAATTCAGGTATATAAACTGCCTCAATTTGGCAAAGAACCCTTGTATGTTACAGATATATAACAGTACCAGAGAAAAATGTACACACTGTAATTAAATGTGGATAACAAGCAAAAGTAAATTGAGAAGATAATGGTTTGACTAGAATAAATTAAAAAACTATTTACAAGATTAAAAGGTCTTTTTACATGAATTGAATTTGTTATTGGAAGAGAATCTGTTCAAGACTAAGAATCTGCTTCAATTATTTGCATTTTAATAAAAAAAGATGCAATGGCATCATATGAAAACTGAATTAATGTATTTTAAAAATAACTTACACTGATGACTGATGAGGAAGTCGACAAGTTTAAACCCTCAAGATCAGCTATCAAACTTGGAGAAAGAGCTGGTATGGGAAGTGCAACTGGAGTGGGTCCTGGGTTAACTGTAAGAAAAGGCCCAAATTAGCAAATGTGCATGAAAATTTAATTCAAATTATTAAAAGCAACATTTTTATTTTGTTAGTAAATCTAATTAAATTACTTTGATTAATAAATGTATGACAATTCTATTTAACATCTTGATTTAGTCAAGTTATTATCAAGTCATGGCAGTTATTAGTCTTAGCTTTCAAACCATAATGGCAAATCCTATAACAAAATAAGGATATAAATATCTTCAGTAATAGTTTTTGAAAATTTTTATCATGTAACATTATCACTAACATTTATCACCCAGTAATTTCACTGGAAAAAAAAAAAAAAGTGAAGAAACATTTTTCCAGACTAATATAAAGAATAACAATAGCTTTCAAGAGAGTTCTCCAGTTGAGTTAGAAATCTTGAAAGGATGTTTAAATCCTTTTTCTATTTTATTCTTCACTTTAATTAGGAGTCCAGGCTACCAATTCCCTTCTAATTACACTTTGTCAGCAAAAGCTATGTGTCAGATAGAAATGTATGACTGATTCTAAAACCGCCATGTATCTGAAAACTAATACCTGTTAAGTTTGAAAATCTTTAAAAAATGCAAATCCAATCATAGTACTCCCATGCTCAAGATTCTTCAAAGGCTCATAATTGCCTACAAGATAAAAGTCCAACTTGTTAATTAAGTTCACAAGGTCCTCTATGATCTAGCTCAGCCCTGACCAATAGTAATTCCTGTGATAATGGAAATGTTCTGTCTGTGCTGTCTAATATGGTGGCCACTAGCCACATATGCCTAATGTGCTCTTGAAATGTGGCTAGTATGAGTAAGAAATGCATTTTAATTTTAATTAATTTAAATTTAAATAGCTACATGTGACTAGTGGCCACCATATTGGACAGCTCAGATCCAGCTTATCTCCAATTTTCAGCCTCTTCTGCTCTAGCTTTATAGAATAATAGTTCCCAAGATCTTGTTCTGTGTCTTTGAGCCTTTTATATTCAAACCTGCCTAGAGGTACTTCTCTGTCTTGCTCATCTTGTAACCCCATTAAGATGCCCCTTAGAGTGGAAACACTCCCAGACTCACCTACAGTCTTTGTAGGTGCCTTCTTTGTTCCACAGATATATACTTGGGCAAACTTCTATACCTGTACTTCTCACATAATACAAATTTGTGTTTTTACATATTTTTATTTCTACTAGTCTGTGTGAACAAAATTTAACTTATTAATTTTTAATGCTTAGTAATTTCTCAACTGTTGTGGAAAAAGTTTTAACTTCTAATAAATTCCCCCTCCAAAATAACACTCTAAAAAGAGTAACATTTACTTAATTTGACATCACTTCTCAAAGCATTTTTCTCATTTTAGTCTCACAATATCATGTGAATTAGGCAAAACAAATATTAATGCATAAAGTTAACAATAAGTATTTCTTAAACAAGATAGCAAGAGAGAGCCAAAAAAGTTCAAGATGTGGTCCCTGTCTTCAAGTAACTTAAAATCTAATTTAAAAAAATATACACATGATTGAAAAAGAAAAGTAACAATAGAGCCTGTAAATGATATTGCCAAAGAAGAAAACTTTCAAAGGAAATCTTAAATAAAATCTCAGCACATATAGTAGGAAAAGCAGAGTGGAGACTGAGTGGAGGAGGGAATGGGGCCCTTGGTTTCCCCCTGCACTCACTCAGTGTAGCTGAAGCATTGCTACAAATCCCCAGGCTTCCCTAGACCTATGCTGAAAACCACCATACAGTTAGCAAGTGCCACAGAGTCAGGGGTGGGGGGTCACTGGGGATGGGGTATAAGAGGAGGCTTTATGAATAGCAGGAGTGAAGCCTGGTTTTTAAGTAAGGGTGGGATTTGAATAAGACGGAAGGAAGAAGCCAGTTAGGCGCTGGATGAGAGAATGCTGTAAACGAAGGCTGAGATGTGGGAAATTGGAAAACTAAGTCCATTAAGCTTATCCTACAGAACAAGGGGAACTATTAAAAATCTACCAAACATAGGAATGATATGATGAATATAGTACTACAGGATGTTTAATCAGATGAGTATAAGGGATAGACTGAAGGAAAGAACAGTAGGCACAGCAGTAAGGAAGAGTTTACAATAGTTTAGGAATGACATGAAAAAGACTGAAGTAAGGTACTGGCAATGAGAAGGCTTAGAGAGGGCCTTTATATTAAAGACACTAAAAATGGAGGCACAGGGAAAGTAAGACTAGCCAAGGTTTATAAAACAAGTGAATGGTCAAACCACTATAGAATTAGAAATTTGGTTCTTCTAATTTGGATCACAATATGCTGCCATTAGATGGAACAGTAACTTTTCTGGTAGGTTCTAAATGCATGTTTGTTCATCTGTTTGTCCATATATCCACCCATCTATCCCTTCAAAATATTAGATGCCCATGTAAGGAATAAAAAAATTCATAAGAAACAGCCTCTGATTTTAACTATGGCTTGGCTAAATACCATTAAGAGATAAGAGAAGAAAATTAACACCACAGACAAGTTCTACTCTTAAAAAAAAAAAAAGATAGGCTTTTAATATCATTTCAGAAGACAGAAGCTCTGGTATTGAAGAGATGATTATGCATCTGATTACCGGTCTGGCAAGATGAAAGCTGGCACTGAAAGCTTATCCTAACATGAATTCCGAGGCTAGCTGACTGTGCAAAAGTATTTAATAAGTAATGTGTAAGAAACAAAATGACTCTGTATAGGTTGTCTTTCTTAATATTATGGCATACAAATTAAAACTTGCACTTGCCAAATTGGCAAAGGCAATTTTTAAGTACAAAATGTAGCATTAGTGAGGGTATAAGGAATCAGGCACTCTCATACTAATATTGTATAAGTTGGTACAAAACTTTCTAAAAGGCAATTTTAGACAAAAGAATTCTTCAAAGTCTTTGCCCCAGCAATTCCACTCCTGGAAATTTATCCTAAGGCAACAGTTATGGAGATAATGCAATAATATATTTACGATGATTTGGTTCACTGATTATGATAGCAAAAATAAGGGAAACAAGTTAAATTTTCAACAGTAAATCTGTTAAATAGAATTTATTACAATATAAAGAATAACCACGCAGTTATTAAAATAAAGTTGTTAATATTTACAGTATGGAAAAGAATATATATAGTAAACAGACAAAGAAGCAAAAGATAAAATAGTAATCTCAGTTGAAGGAGGTTATCTGTATGAAGGTGAATCTGAACTTTAATCCAGGGTGTTTAAATTATAATTTAATTTTATTTTCTTCTTTTCATTTTTAAAACTTTCTACAAAACACTTTTGTTTGCTGAAGTGTATTTAATACAGTAATTATTCAATTATTCTTCTGATCAAATTTTTGCTTTAAAATTTAACAATAAGTAAAACTTAATATATAATGGTTTACTATGTAGTTATTTGGGTTTTTTGTTTTTGTTTTGGACAGAGTCTCACTCTCTCGCCCTGGCTAGAGTGCAGTGGCATCATTGTAGCTCACAGCAACCTCAAACTCCTGGGCTCGAGCGATCCTCCTGCCTCAGCCTCCTGAATAGCTGGGATTACAGATGCACACCACCAAGCCCAGCTAATTTTTCTATTTTAGTAGAGATGGGGTCTCACTCTTGCTTAGCCTGGTCTCGAACTCCTGACCTCAAGCAATCCTCCTGCCTCAGTCTCCCAAAGTGCTAGGATTATAGGTGCCCAGCCAGTTATTTGTTAAGTGTAATTTTCTGCATCATCAGCATCATCACTAACTCCTATAAAATGCTTATCACTCATGTATCAGGCACAGTTTTAAATGCTTTTACATATATCAACTCATTGGATAAAATGACCCAAAAAAGTTTTAGTATTATCCCAATTTTATAGATAAAACAACTAAAGCACAGAGAGGTTAAAGTAAATTGTCCGAGGTTACACAGCTAGTAAGTAAGAGAACTGGGATTCAAACTCAGACAGCTTAGCTTTATTGTCCCCTTAGCCACGCCGCTCTACTGCCTCAACCATAATTCATTCCACAATGTGATATCACATATCATAATGCTTATCTGAAGCATGATTATTGTTGCCTGATAGAAATTTTAAAAGGACTTCATTGTTAGTTGTACTAATAGAGTAATGACATAGGTTCACATTTCCTTTAAAACAACACCAGAATATGAACACTGCTTTATAATCATCCTATTGAGGGCACATGGTATGGGGTACTAAAAGATATTTTGATTTCCAGAAATACAAAATATGCCTGAAAAACAGAAAGCATATTGCTACCTCCAAGTCTACCAATACATTGTTAGGACATATATTATCCTAGCACAAATATTTTCTCATGTATTATTAACTAACCCCCATGAAATGGAATCACATAACTCCATAATCTAAAGGAAATGTAGAAACTTTATAGTCATTTTTTTCAAATTTTACAAATGAATAAAATGAGACACAAAGAAATTAACTAAATTTCTAAATGGACTAAAGGCACACCAAGACCAATGCCTGTGCTCATGGTAACATCCCCTCCACAGACGTAGTAAGGAAATAGCAAGTCACTCAATTACAGAACTGTTTTGTAGTAGAGCCAGTCTACTGCTAGGGTTGCTAACTGTTCTGCTTTCTTAGAAAGACACAATCATTATTTTTGGTAGTAGCAAGCTCTTTCCCTCCTCCATGCCTTCACCTGGCGTAGTATACAGGTACTCTGCTACCTAACAGCATTCTGTTTGCGTATCTCTTTTTCATTTCATCTATAATGTGGCAATTTAATTGCTGAATTATCTGTTTTTTCCATTATATTTTGAGAGTTCCTTGTGTAGGGACAACATGGTATTTATTTAGAATATCCAGCATGTAGCGGGTTATATAGATCATATCGAATATTCAATAAATACTTCCTGAATGAAGAGATGAATAAATTCAGTATCTGCAGTTTTCCTGGTATGCAGTACACACCTAGCAAACAACCTATGTGGATTATGATGTACTCTTAAATAAAACGTAAGGAATGTGTCTGCCTCTCCTTCAAGATTAATCTAATTCTCACAGCTGAGAACTCAAGGCACTGGAGAGTGACTTTTAGGGTTTGATCAACAAACTGCTTGCCATGGACAATGGAGAACTCCTGTAGGCCAATGAGAAGCATACAATGAAGTCAGCAGCACTCTGCTTGTCTTTACCTCTACGCTCAGATCATGCTTCTTCCACAAGGCCTTCGCAGCTTTTCAATTAGTTTTTGTCTCCCTGTTTCTTCATTCTACTTTGCATCTCTATTTTATCTCTTATATAAATAGTTACTTGTTCAGGTATCTGTGGCCCTGACTAGATTTTAGTTTCTAGAAGGGAATGACTAAATTCTACTAATCTATTACAGCACCTTGCAAGTACTTTGCACTTATAAGACAGTCCACAAACATTTACTAAATTGACTTGTTAACAAGAGTTTCAAGTGTCATGTCTGACAAATGCAGGACTACAGAAGATTTTCAAAGAAATAGCACTTGAGTAATAAAAACAAAGAGAAATACTATTTATATATCCTATGTTGAGTTAAAAAATATGTTGAGATTAAATGTTCCCTTAAAATTAAAAACCTTACATTTAAATTCTTAAAAACTTAATTTTTAAGACAACCTTTTGTCTTTACAAATAAAAACACACTTTTAAAAAAAACTGAACTATAGTAATTGTATCATTTTACAGATTTCTCTTTATTACCTTAGTTTATAAAGACTCAGCCTCCCGAGTAGGTAGAAGTACAGGTGTGCACCACCATATCTGGCTAATTTTTTCAATTATTTTGTAGAGACAGAGATCGCTATGTTGCTCGGGCTGGTCTTGAACTCCTGGCCTCAAGCAATCCTGCTGCCTTGGCCTCTCAAAGTGCTGGGGTTATAGGAATGAACCATTGCACCTGGCCTGCTTTACTGTTATTCTTTTACGATTTTAAACTTTATAAATTGTGAATGTTACATACACACACAAAATATTCCAGTGCCACAGAATGATATAAAATATAAAATCGAAGTCTTGTTCCCTTTTCTGTTCCCACTTTAGTCCTACATCTTAAAGGGGTCAGCGCTGCTAAGGTGGAAGGATCGCTTGAGGCCAGGAGTTCGAGACCAGCCTGAGCAACAGAATGAGACCTTGTCTATAGAAAACATAGAACAATTAGCTGGGCATGGTGGCACATGCCTGTAGTCCCAGCTACTTGGGAGGCTGAGGCAGGAAGATTGCTTGAGCCCAGGAGTTTGAGGTTGCTGTGAGCTATGATGATGCTACTGCACTCTAGCTTGGGTGGCAAAGCGAGATCCTATCTCAAAAAAAAATGGGGGGAGGAGGGTTGGAACTAACCAGTGTTAACTGTTTCCTCTGTAGCCTTCCAGAAACTTATATATGTATAATTGTGTTTATGTTTGTGTGCTGGATATATTTTTCTTTTATTGCTTTTATACACAAGTGGAATCATGTTCTACATATATTTTTTTTACTTATAGTATTTTGAATATATAATTACATAATTAGCACATATAGATTTGCCTCATTTTTGTTAACGGCTGCATTACCCTGTTGGCAGACATTATATTTGCTTTCAAGATTTTGGTATAATAAACAATGTTGTGATGAAATTGTTATATATACCTTTACATATTTTATTAATTCAACAAATACTAGGTGTCTACTAACTGCCAGGTGCTATTCTAAGCACTAGGAATAGTAGTGGGCAAGACAGACAGGGATCCTATTCTCATGGAATTTACATATTATTTGGGAGAAACAGATAATCATCAAGTAATGAAAATATTTAAGATCATTTCAGATAGTGAAAATGCCATTAAGACAATGAAGAGTGATTAGTAAAGATATGTGCTATGGTCTGAACATTTGTGTCCCTCCAAAATTCACATTGAAACCTAATCTCTACTGTGGTGGGGCCACAATAGAGGTGGGGCCTTTAGGAGATAATTAGGTCATGAGGGCTCCACCCTCACAAATGGGATTAGTGCCCTTATAAAAAAGGCTCAAGGGGCCAGGCACGGTGGCTCACGCCTGTAATCCTAGCTCTCTGGGAGGCCGAGGCGGGCGGATTGTTTGAGCTCAGGAGTTCAAAACCAGCCTGAGCAAGAGCGAGACCCCGTCTCTACTAAAAATAGAAAGAAATTAATTGGACAACTAAAATTGTACAGAAAAAATTAGTCGGGCATGGTGGCACATGTCTGTAGTCCCAGCTACTCGGGAGGCTGAGGCAGGAGGATCGCTCGAGCCCAGGAGTTTGAGGTTGCTGTGAGCGAGGATGACGCCACAGCACTCTAGCCTGGGCAACACAGTGAGACTCTGTCTCAAAAAAAAAAAAAAAAAAAAAAAAAGGCTCGAGGGAGCCTGTTTCCTCCATCTGTCACAAGAGGAGAAAAGAACTGCTATGTCAAAGGCTATGTGTCATTTAAATGTTGATAGATATTGCTAAAATGACTCCAAAAAGCTGTACCTATCTCTATTTCTATCAAAAGCACATGTGTCTGTTGCTTCAAAGCTTAGCAATACTGGATGATATCAAATCTCAAAATCTTTGCCAATATGTAAAACATGATTCAAATTTGGCTCCAATTTTATTTTTAGTTTCTTTATATTAAATATTTCTCTGTATTATACATTTTAATTTCTCTATACTAAGAATTTGCCATGGCTATTGGAGACAGAATGTATCTAGGATAGAATGAGGCAACCTAAAAACATAACTCACTCCCAGCATGGAAAAACTCTATCAAAAATATTCATAAAATTTTACTTTATTACTCTTCTCCTGGTGCAACAAAGTTAGTTCTACTCTCTCTCTTCACAATGCAGGAAGATTTAAGGGGAGAGGGCGAATATATACCTTTGCACACTTGGGTGAGTTAATTTGTAGGATTCCGAATTCTTAGATTTGTGGGGACAAAGATTTTTTGCAGTTAAAGTATCGATAGGTACAGCCAAACTGGCCTCAGAAGGCTTTGTAACCCATTTCCATCTTTACCAAATTGTGGCAAGTGGAAGATGGTGATGTCCATTACATTTCCCTTTATGTTCTTAATTCCCTATCTCCTTCAGTTAGATGTGTCAATCCTCATAATCAAAATTTGACAATGTAGAAGCTGTAAGAAATGGATAATTATTTAACAAGTATAAATTACTAAAGCAAAAGATTTTAAACTGAATTTGTGCACTTTTATTTGACCATCTATATTTATTCACGTGATACAAAATGATATGCTGAATAGACGAAAGATACTTATACCACTGATTTCCAAAATTTTCTTGCCTTATTCATCTATAAGTCTTTCACAATAGATGTTGATGTATTTTTGGGACATGTAAATGAAAGGTACTATAAAAATAAAAACCACTCCTATTAAACACAGAAGAAAAATTTTAAATTATAACACTTACAATCATCCAGATCTAGAAGTGAAACATCTTTGGTGAGAGGTTTTCTATCTTGCTTTGTTTTTTTTTCTTTCTCCTAGAAAATAACAAATATTTCATTTATTACATGTTCTGTGTTTTAGATCAACAGAGTAGTCCATAACATGCCAAAGCAAACATTTTTTTCTGCTTAGTCTTACCAACAAACAAATTAAGCTTCTCTATAGTTACATGAAATGTTTTTCTGAACAAAATTTGTCTCAATTAGCATATAGTATTTCTTCCCCGCTACGCAATCTCTTAATTATCTTAAAATATTTTGCGTTTAAAGATTATAAAGAATCTTCAGAAGAAAATTGAAAGGTAAGTAATAATTATTTTATAATCTGACAACTTTGTGCTAACATAAAAATGTAAAGTAGCTCTTCGGTAGAACGTACACATTCTTGAAAATAATTTTAAACAACTTTACTTTTAAGAAAAAGAAATGCTCAAATAACATATGCATAGCCCTGAGATTGTTGGTGGGCTTGTAATAGGTTAGGGTTTCCTGATGTAGTTGGTAATAGGCACCGTACTATGTAGTTTATATTTCAATACTGGCTTCTGTCAGACCTCTGCCAAAAGTATTCATTAAAATCTATAAACGACATTCCCAGGCTCTTGCTCTTTAGGGTTGAAATGGATTCACTTAGTTTTCTCCAGTGTTTTGTATAGGGAATAAATATTTCAAAACATATCTGCACGTAATTAGGGTTTCTCCGCACCACAGATTTGCTTATTCAGTCTACCAGATTTATAAACTATGCATAAACATGAACTAGAATACAGTGTTTCCTAAGCCTGAGGTATTCACAGTTTGGTTAGAGATTCAGAAAAAATTTGTAAATCCTTAAAATAGAAAAAAGTATAAATTAACTGCAGTACTGAGTAGCATTACAAACCACTAAAGATCAATAATGAATAGGGTGTTAAATAGATGTATCTGGGTCAAAGTTTCTTATCCTTATAATCTGTACTTTCTTTTACATTAAATCTTCTCATATTAAAAAGCAAAACTTAAGTTTTTACAAAAATGTTTTTGTTCATTCATTCATTCAATAGGTATGTACAGAATTTTAAGTAAGTATCAGAATCTGTGCTAAGCACTGAAAATAACAGCTAAGACAGACACAGTCCTGCCTTCAAATAACTTATAATCTGCGACAGGAATTTGTATCTTATTGTTCATGTGAATTATTATAAATATTTTTGAAGTATTCCTCTAGCCACAGAAAAGTATGACTGAAGCAAAAGGTATATTATCATCATTTAAAGTCTACACAGTGTTAGAGCTCTTAAAACAGTGCATATACATTAACAAGAGCATTGCATAAAATTAGGCATTAGGTAACACTTTTTTGAATGATTTAAATTCTGCTTGGCTTTTCCCTTATGCCAATACTCGGAAAATTATTTTCAAGGATCATATAATAACATACATTAACACACTAAAAAAATCAGCATTTATTTTCTTCTTCAAAATAATTATTTTTGCCACTGAAAACTCCAAATCATCTATGTAAGTTTTAATTTTCATTCCTTATTTAAAAACAAAACAAACAGTATTTGCCCTTCTCTCTACTCCTCAAATGAGTAACAATGTCTAGGACTGGAGAAAAAAAAAGAAGAAATGTTAGTTTTGAGGCTGAAATTTAAAAGTTGCAAGTAAATGAAAACAGGTTCAGAATGAAAACGCCACCTCAACTAGGATATCATTCCTGTGAAGAAAGAACATATAACAAAAAGAGCTTATCATCATGTGACTTATCAAAATGCTATGCTGAGCACAATAGGTGTAGCTTCCTATAAGCTACAATGGTGCATGACTGTCTTTATGGAACTGTAACCTCCCCACCTGAAATATTAGAAACCTATCAAATCAAGATAAAGTTAAAGCTGAAGGCAAGTCTATACCTTATTTTCTACTTCACAGCCAAGAGTGTGTAACAATATCTATTAAATACACATCAGGTCACATACAACACAGAACAGAGCTGCATGTGAAATTGGCATAATCTCTTATTAGAAGCCTAGAACAGAGAGAAAAAAGGCTTTCAAAAGGACAGAATTTCATTGACTTTCTGAGAACAGCAAATAACCAGTGACTGAAATACAACATTAGCAATAGATAATGGTCATTTCTACTGAATGGAAAAAGCCTTGCATTCCAAATCAAGGCTATAAAATGCTTCGTGATGTGTTTGGTATTCCTCTCTTATATTATATTTCATTTTTCATTTTAAAAAATCCATAGTAAGTTCAAAACATTTTCATACTTAAAGGATCTACTATAAAAATAAAAATCTGAATTCTAAACAAAGAAGTTAAGAGCTCTATTCCATCAAACATTTCTCCATTTGCAATTCATCTTGGTAATAGAGACAGAACCTGGGTAAATGCATATAGGACTTGAGGCAGGAGATTTTTCTTGCTCAATGCATAATTCATGTGCTCCGCCTGCAAAGTGTGTAAAATGAGAATTTCACACCGCAGCATGAGCCATGGAGCTGCAGAGAAAAGGCAGATGAAATCATATTTTACTGTGTGAATTTTATTTCTTACCCTCCCAATATTTATACAAAACCATCATTGACAAACCAAACACACTGACAGATCACCCACTGTTTCCATTGTGTTAGTACTTGAGAAGAGATCAGGCAGAAAGATAGACAATTTGTTTTTGTATATTTTTTTAAATAGAGGATTAGGTTTTTAACAGTTGAGTGACTGGATTAGACTTTTATAAGGACAACAGTAACTGATCTTAAAATCTCACCACAAAAAATACCTAGTTATCAATTCATCATCCTCAAATCTCCATGTATTCAATTATACACCTCAACACATCAACATTTTCAAAATGAAACATAAAGTCACAGGGTTAAGGAACTGATTTCTATTTAATGTATTTCATTTCAAATAATAAATAAAAGATCCTGGAAATACTTAGCCCCAAATAATACGAAAATATGTAACAATATATCTGAAAAGATTTTATGTATTATGCATGTTCACTTTCACGCTGATTAAAAAAAAAAGGCAAGTAGAAAAAAAGATCTGACATGACAAGCATCAAATATGTGTCCTAAGAGGAAACCATTATAAAGAGGTTTGAAATTTAAAACTATAAAACAGGATAAGCAGTATATGAAGTTTGGCAACCCATACTGTGCTTTGAAATCAACAACAATTCAAGGCTAATTTCTAGCCTCACAGGGCAAGATATTTGCATGAAATATTTTCAATTAGAATTACCAACCAAGGACAATTTAATGCTCTCTTCTCTTCAAGTCAACTGACAAATCCGATTATAAAAATCTGAGGCTTACACTTAAACTTGTGCTTTAAAACAAAAGTATACTGCTAGTAAATTGAGACTTCTTTATAAGTTAAAAAGAAGTCTAAACCACTAAAACAAATCGTTCCCTATTAGATTATACCTAATTGAATAAGAAAGCTTGCTGAATGGTATTCACTTCATTTTAAAGGTCTCAACTGAAATTAAATGATATTTGTTTTAGAGAACTTAAAATATAAACTAAATTAGGAGTGACATAAATTGAGAGAGCAAGGCTTTGAATTGTTAAAATAAAAACCGATATTCACAAAAGTTATACAATTGCGTCATACATAAATACTTGTAAAAACATAATTAAAACTTGTTTCCTATTTCTCAAACAGAACATAAAACTAATCGGAAAATAGTTCCTTTCACTCTGATCCATGATCTATTTCATCCCACATGCCAAAATTACTTTATCCCTAAGAATCTTTCAAATAAAAGATCTTTATCCCCAAGATCTTTCATTAAGGCAAATTTTAACACTTACTGATAGTCAACAAACACAAGTCACAATACCAGTGATGGTCCTTATAGCACTTAAGAGATTTAATCCATTTCTTTGTACCTCTCGAAAAGGGATTAATAAAGTTCTGAGATACATATAATCTGAGTTAAAGACAACTGGCAAGAGCATCACAAACACTCCTAGGTATATATAGATGGTACTAATTTTTTCATAGCTGGTACATACATTAATCTTAATTTTGATTCAAATATGAAAATGCTCTTAATATTAAGTGTTATTAAGTACAAGTACATTAAATATATTTATTTCACACTGATTATTATACTTTATATGCAGTTTGTATAATTAAAATTTTAATAGATACAATGAATTATATAAAAGTTATGATAACTTACAATCACGATTTAAAATTTTTACCATTTTAATCATAAATGAAATCTTCAGCAGTTGGTACACAGACATTTTAGATATAACTAGAATACCGCATTCACAGATAAAGTATGAATAGTAGACTAATGAGGTGATCGCTGAAATAACGATAGTATGTAGAAGCACTCTAATATACTGGCTTGTTTTAAGAACACTGAAGCCTAGGTTCAACAAAGGAAAAAAACCCTGGAAATCTTAAAAACATTATTTTAAATAAAATTATCACCATCTGCTCAACATAATTTTAACCACAAACAGAATATAACTTAATTATATTGGTAAAAAATAGGATAAAGTTATACAAATGTGAATCTCTTTCTGACACAATGTGGTTTACATTACTGATTTTTCTTTCCACTCTTCTATATAAAAAAATTTTCTCTTTACTCTCTATAAAGTATGTGAAAGCACTTAAAATATGGAGTTACTAAAAGTAATTTTGTTAGAGATATTATTTGGGGAAAAAGAATTACTTCTTTAAAATGACTATACTCAAAATATTTAGTTTAAAATATTTCACAAAAGAACACCTACATGTAAAAATATGCTTATCCATCAAAATGACTGTAACTTTGGTTATTACTGACAATATCTGACCCGAAATGAGGACATCTCCCAATGAATAATAACACAAACACGCACACCTGACACCTGAACGTATGACTATAGTTTTGTGCCTCCTGGACATGCTGGGGCATGGTGTTGATGGCAAACACTTTGGGAACAAACAATCAAGCAGTGGTTCTCACTCTTTTGACAGTCTCTACACTATTCACAAGAGTAATACCATATCATCAGTAACACTTTCCAGTCCCTGCAGGCATTCTCAACCAGGAGAAGCAGAGAGATCACACTCTGATATGAAGCCAAGACAGAAGAAAGGCATAGAAATAGGAAAGCACACAGCATGTTCCAAATACTCCATTGGGGTTAGAACACAAGGTGGGTTAAGACTAGGAAGGCAAGTTTGGGAATGCTCGTCTGAGTTTACTGACCTCTAATATTAATCTGGCCACTGTACAGAAGGATTGGGACTGGGAAAGCACTGGTCTGAGGGTGACCAATGACAAAGGTCTATGAAGCTGATGAAGGGCTGATATATATAGAATGGTGGATGGTGGCAGTAGGGAAAGAAGAAACAGATATGAGAAATAATACATAGAATCTATAGTACTTGGCAACTATCTAACCATATAGACAGAGGAGTCAAAGAGAATTCTGGGCTACAAATCTGAGAGAATGGAAACAATGCTGGTACCAAATTGTAAAGCATGTCTTCTGGCTGTATGAGGTTTGGAAAATCAGTAGTCCCAGAGAAGGCTAAGAATTTGGTCTGAATTTGGGAAGAAAAGCTGGACGTGTTGTAGAAATTGAGAGATGTTACCATGGAAGCAATTCATGTAAATGTTTTAGCTGAAGCTATAGGAGTAAATGAGACCTCACAACAGGAAAAATTTAGAAGGAAAAAAAAAGAGGACTAAAGAGAAATTCATTCACATCAATTAGTATTTTGAAAAACTAATGTATACTAAGTATAATTTGGGGTCAATGTGCACAATTGGGTGTCAGCAGGGGATAAAAAGTGAAGCAATCAAAATAATGAAAGGTCAAAGAAATCAGAACAAAAGGACACAGAGTTTCAAATAGTAGGGGAATAGTCATACAAAAAGATCAAGAAGAGTAGATAATACCTAAGAGAAGGCTGCTGGGTTTGGGGAAGGATCACAGTTAACTTTTCAGAGAGCAGTATCTATAGGAAGGGATAGAGGTGAAAACCAATCTATAAGGGACTAAGAAATACCTGGGTTAAGAAATAGCAGATGGAGGATATTTAGATTATTTTTTCTTTTTCTTTTTCTTTTTTTTTTTGAGACAGAGTTTCACACTGTTGCCTGGGCTAGAGTGCCATGGTGTCAGCCTAGCTCACAGCAACCTCAAACTCCTGGGCTCAAGTGATCCTCCTGCCTCTGCCTCCCGAGTAGCTGGCACTACGGGCATGCACCACCATGCCCAGCTAATTTTTTATATATATACTTTCAGTTGTTCAGCTAATTTCTATTTTTTTTTAGTAGAGATGGGGTCTTGCTCTTGCTCAGGCTGGTCACGAACTCCTGAGCTCAAACGATGTGCCCTCCTTGGCCTCCCAGAGTGCTAGCATTATAGTAGATTATTTTTTCTAAACTCACTCTAACACTGTCTCTCTTCCACTCCCTGCTCTCTCCCTCTCTCTGTAAATGCTGGAAAAGACTTGAATGCTTTGGTTGGCAGAAGAGGAATTAGTGGAGAAAGAGATTGAAGGCTGCAAAGGAGGCAGATGATTATTAACAAAACAAGGCCAAAGGAAGCAGGACTTATTCTTAGCTAAGTGGATGGATGAGGATCACTTACTCTTTACACTGATCTTTTACTTTTGATTTTTTACCATAACACTTTAAAGAAATAAGGTAGGTGTTAGCATTTCTACTTTATAGATGAGGAAACTGAAGCATAAAGGTATGATTTCCCAACACGTAGAACACTATACTTATCTCATAGGACTACCACAAAATTAACTGTTTTGAAAACTATATATTCGAGGTATTTTCCAGGTCTCATTTGCATGCTTAATGCCCCCAAAACACATTGTCCAGATGAATAAAAAAGAAGAGAAAAAGTAAAGGTATAGATTTAGTTAGGCTGCATATTTGAGGCATATGAATTTTCAGCACTAACATACCGTCATATTAAATTAAAGTAAAGCACCCACACCATCTGCCTTCATTACTCATAATTTAGAGCAGAAGCCATAATACTTGGCACAAGGAAGACTTTTCCACAATTATAAAGTTGCCTATTATTAGAAAATTGGCATACTTTTAGTCACATGGTATATTCCAAATCATTTAGAAATAAATAGAAATAGATAAGTAGTTATGGTAGCTCCAAGATATTCCAATTGCTAAATTAAAGAAAATCACGCCCCCCCACCCCGCCCTGCCCCGCGCAACCCTATCTGCTTATTATAGAGAGGAAAAGGAATTCTCAGAGAGAGAAAATAAGCCATCTAAGGAAAACACATGGACACAAAATTATCAACAATGTGAGTAAAAGCTGAATTTCTCAAGGGTCTTGGCCCATTGCAACAGTTTGAATTTTTTACAAAAAATTCTGTAGTAAAATATATAGTTCTACAGTAAAATATTTTCAATTATTAAGAGATTTAATCTGATCATTCAAAGTCTTTGACAAAGAAGAAACAAACTGAATCACTGACCTGGGGTGCCACTGTGGCTTTTTAATGGGATCCTAAAGTTCTGCTTCTAATATTACAGAGGCACTGAAGTCTATAATTTTTCAACCATTACAAAAACTTCATAAGAATAACTTACTTTAATTCCGCCCACTTCACATGTGCTGATTTCTTGTTTTGTCATTTAAAAAAACACTGATTTCTTATTCTGGGTTGTACTTACTGTCAATTTCTAAAGCTCTTTATTTTAAATAACATTTTAAGCTTTTTTTTAATTTGATGTAAGTAGGAAATAAAACTATGTGATAAGTTTTTATAGAAGGCCAGATTAATAAACCATAAAATCTTTAAGATTTTATGTGAATGTCTGAAAAATAAAAATCTTAGACTGTATGTTATACATAGACACAAGTTTTAAATATAAACTGAAGTTTAAGATAGGTTTTACTATATAGAAGAATACTTGAAATAAAGTAAAACAAATATTAACCAATTTTAAAAATATGCTTATTCTTTAAAAATAAATCTCTGGATGGGGAAGAGCAATTGTCTACTTCAATGAATTTATTTTCATCCTTGGCCACTCGGATGACATACTGAAGAAATTAAAGTTAATTAGAAATAACAAATAAACAAAACCAACAAAAATATTGGGTTAAGAAGAAATTGAGGGCTGGGCAAGGTGGTTCACGCCTGTGACCCTAGCACTCTGGGAGGCGAGGCAGGAGGATTGCTTAAGCTCAGGAGTTTGAGACCAGCCTGAGTAAGAGAGAGATCCCATCTCTACTGAAAATAGAAAAATTAGCCTGGCATCATGGCATGTGCCTTGGAAGGCTGAGGCAGGAGGATCTCTTGAGCCCAAGAGTTTGAAGTTGCAGTGAGCTATGATGATGCCACTGCACTCTACCTGGGGAAACAGAGTGAGACTCTCTCAAAAAAAAAAAAAAAAGGAAAAAAAAAAAGAAGAAGAAATTGAAATCAATAAAAGGCAAGTTTGATAGTATTTTCAATGTATGGAATAACACAGTTAATATATAAAACTACTGTACTTAAGGCCTAGTATCAACATTACCCATTTATAGGAGGGGGTGATAATTAAAAGACCAGAAAAATAATTATTATTAGGTCTGAATTTTATATTAATAACTACATTTTTACAATTTATACTTTTATTTTTTCCTGCTAAGCAAAGTTCAGTGTTACAAAAGTTATATCAAAAAGCATTACCATTGTATTACATAAGTGGTTCTTATATTTGTTTTTAAATAAATGGCTACTGTAAATTTTTATTAACTAGTTATAGAATGTACATCTTTTAAAGTTTTAAAAATATTCTGTTATCCAAAAGCCTAATATTTTTAAAAGGCTAATAGTCTCAATTTCTTAAGATGTATGTATATTAATATTTCTTTGCTCAATACTTTGTTTTTGTGACTTCCTTTTACTTTCCCTTTAGCAAAAGCCTCCCTTGTCACAATCTAGCCAAGAACAAAACAGGCCATATGTGTGATGCTGCAATCTCTGATTTCAGTGGCAAGGGATGAGGTAAAAAAAAAAAAAAAAAAGATTTTAACTCTTTTACAGAGTTGGGTTATAAGGGAAAGGATTATCTAGAAAAAAATAAAATCACAGGTGCACACAACAATGGTGCTGTTTATTTTCATTGCTATAAGAATATCTACCTTCAATTACTAATATAACAAATGTATAATCTCTTACCTTAGTGACTCTTCTGGATTTAGATTCACTTTCAGAGTCTGATTCCGATTCAGAATCTGAAGAACTTTCTTCTGTTGAACTAGATTCAGCATCAGAAGAATCTGAAGTTTTAGATTTCTCATTTTCCCTCTCCCCATCTTCAGAATCACTGTTCATGATAATAAATTTTGAAATATCAACTTTAAATCCTTTATGTAAATAAGTAGTTTATATAAAAAGACAATAAAAATGGTTTTAAATTCTAGACAATATCAATGAGATAATAAAGGTAGTATTATCTATAACCAAATAAATCAGAACCCATCCAGACTCAATTATATCATGTCACACACACTTCAAATGCAAAAAGTCATAACACTGAATGATACCATCAATAACAACAGAAAATAATTAATATTAAATGTTTGATTTACCAAGAATTAAGTGCTATAACAGTAACAACTTCAAAGATACTTAGGGCAATTTTTAAATGCTGTCTCAAAATATTGTTTATTAATATATTTAAATATCTATATATCTACTTTTGCTAAGAAAGACTTGCATTTTCAGATTTTTCTGTCTAAGAAAATTACTTATACAAGTTTCCAAATGTCCTTAAACACATTCTATGACAAAATGTTAATCAGTTCAAAGAGAATTCTAATGCACTCTCTTCTCAACACATAAGCTAATCAAATAGAAGCTTTTGAAATACCAAATGATCACACATAAGTGCTTAACAGTATGAATTCATTTGTTCACTCACCCACTCAACAAATATTTATTGATTATTGACTACATGCCAGCACTATGTTAGATGCTAAGGATAAAAATGGTTAGTAAGACACAGATGATCTCTGTGTTTACCTTATAGTGTCTACAGTCCATTGCAAGATACAGAGAAGTATGTTGGTACTGACAATAGAGTATGGTAAGTAGTAAGTAACAAAGTATAGTGTGCGTGAGAACATTTAGAGAGACACCTAAACAAACTTAACCAAGATAAGGAATACTTCCTGAAGGAAGAGACTCATAAGTTGAAAAATAGGAATAAGGCAAGGTAGATGGGTCAGAGGCAGTTCTCCAAGGAGAAGGAATAACATGTGAGATGGCCAAACAAGCTTCTCTCAGAGGATGAGAGATATCTTGATATTTTCCCTGAAACTGAAGGTCCAGTTCTCTCTACCGTGTGTGTATGTTTTAAGAATGAACCTTGGGCCAGGCAGGGTTAGACATTTCATACCAATCATACCAATTATCTAATTTAGGTGCACTCTTCCTGGGTACATTATTATCCCATTTGCAATAATGAAATTAATTTTCAGGAAGGTTAAGTAACTTGCTCAAGGACACAGAACAGGAGGGGCAGAACTGGAATCTGAACTCAAGTCTGTCTCACACCAAGTTCCATATTTTTCCTCTATTTTGAAGATGTTTAAAACTTATTAGGAGCTTAAAAAATTATCATACTGGTGAAGTTAAAAAAATTCTAAGAGACAGGCAGAAAAACACAACGAAGAAAGAGAAGTGAGGCAAGGGAAGAATCAATATTTCCTAGAATTGAACTTTGTGGAGGAAATATGACTGCTGTTTATTAAAAATGGAGCCATGGTAACATCTCAGAGCACACATAATTATATTTGAAGACTGAAAAATATGTTGTTTTTCTTTTCCCTAGGAAAGAATGGCAATTTATTATCCCCAATTCACTGGTTAAAACAGGTACTTAAAATTATAAGGTTTAGAATCTACTTGTGCTTCTCTTTGGTATAATAAACAATTCTTTTAAATTCAAACATAGGTAAAGAGAAAAGTCCATTTCTGAGAAACAAAATAATGAAACTAATTTAAGACATGATTATACATTTCTAGCATACTAACTTTTGCTATCTGAAAAAGTATTTCATGTACTGAATAACTTTTCCTTCCTAGAAACAAGATACACTTTATAAGTCATATCATCACAGATACTCTGATATTAAACCAAAAGTACAGAATTTCTCTCAAAGAAAAGACTATTATAAACCAAGTAGCTCCTCTGCTATAACAAGTGAATGATTCTAAATATATTTAACTTCTAGCTTTTAAGATGAGATTTTAAAGGTAAAAGTGTTACTTTATTATGCATCACTCAATTTTGATAGTAATTATTGTTTACCTTACTGCTTAGAGTTTCAGATGTTAATCTAATGAAAAGAATTTACTGGTAACTAGGTTTTTAACTTTGCAATGATGAAAAGCCTGTATTAATTTAACCTACAGATTTCATTTGTTCTGAACAGGAAAAACAATATAAATCACTTTTAAAATCATTAAATCCTGACTTAAATTAATAAAGTCATAATTAGGGCATTATGCTGTGTTTGTTATGGAAGTGGCAGGGCGAGCGGCTTTAATTACTGTCTGTAATAAAAGGAGCAGAGAGCGTACTGCGCCCCAATCAGTGCTGTCAGCCACGACTGAGCTGAGCTGCAAGCTCATCAAGTGAGCGGGCAGCAGGCTCCAAGGAAAGGGCCATCGTGTGGGCAGAGGCCACTCGCTGACGGCAGTGGGGAAAACAGAGTCACACAATCCAAGATATTAGCCCCAATTACTCCAAATTTTAATGACGCTTTAATACATGATAATGTTGTTGATAATGGGAGATCTTAAAAAGTGCTAACACTTAAATATCTTATGACCGTCTTCCTTCACAGCCCTTGACTCTAATATTTGGATCATAATCTTTTTAATGTAACATTATTTAGAAAAATCAATTGTCTTAGTTATATAATGGCAAAGTGTTGAAGGATTTAATTTTAGCCCTCAGCAAAATTGCTACAAAAGGTAATTAAGTGTCTCATACCTAATGCTTGATCACTTAACTCAGCCTTCCAAGGTTATACCAATTTTCAAAATGTAACCCCAAGATTTGTTCAAGTTCAAAATGAAAACTAAGCATTATAAGTAGGAGAATAATGTGAACTACTAGCATTTCAAATTAACTTAAAAAGATTTATTATCTGTTTGGGAAAAAATACACATAGTTCTTCTCCCACTCTATGAATTAATGGGAAATATTAGCCTGAGGGATATACCACAGAATAGTTTTTGAAGGAAATTCTGACAAAATAATTTACCTTTTTCCTTTGGATTTCGAGTTCCTCTTGGCTGTTCTTTTGTCCTCTACTCCTGACTCACTTCCACTCTCACTTCCCTGCCCACTGGAGGAGTCTTCACTGCTATCCTCACTGCTGTCTCCTTCCTCCCCACTTTCTCCTTGTTCTCCACTTTCACTTCCAGATCCACTCTCTGAAAAGCAGAACCAGATGTGCTTTGATTTATAGCCATTTAACTGGACATAAGGACACCTGTAACCGTCAATATTCATCACAAATGAAACCAAGTGTCGAATTTTAGTTCAGTGGACCCCACTCATTCAACACGTTGTATTTCTACACCCCATTCATTCAGACATGTGGATTTCTGCAGCAGGGTGAGCTCGGATGGACTCAAACACACAGAGAAAAGATGCTCTGATAATGAGCAGAGAAAAACAAAGCAAGATGAACCAAATGTGAGGGAATCCCATTTTTCAAACCCGTAAGTATCTAGCTATGGCAAAAACTTTCTTTTAAAGAATGACATAAGGATGATGTAAGGCAAAAGAAATAATTTTGAATTATTCTACTTGTAATGGGAAATTGTACTTAAGAGTAAAAGGCAACAGTTTAATCTTCTTAGGAATAAATTTTGAGAGGAAAATGAGCCACTCATATCATCTCCAAAAACTTCTAAATTCAAAGACAACAAGGAAAATTACTAATTAAACAGTTATTACTTATTTTAGTAGTATAGGAGTTTTCCATAGGTCTAAGAGATGATAAAGTTACATTAGGGTTATGCTTTTTAAATGTTTTATGTGTAAATTATGGTATACTAGGACCATTTGCAGAAGTGGTACACAGAATATATATTTATGTGTATTTTTTAAATGAAGCATAATTTTTTTACTGTTTAACATGATTGTAGGTGCAGAGTTATGCCCTAGATAAAAGGACAAATTGCCTGTGATCTGTGTGATGAAGTACCCTTAGATAGGAACATAACCTTTAATCAAAATATTAATTTACTAATGGGTAAACAGTATCTATTTCATGAAGATTTATTTATGTATCACAGTGAAAAGTTAGGACTGCCTATATTCTTTCAGAATAGCTTGCAGTGGGTACAAGCATGGATGCTCAAGTTGAAATGTCCAGGTTCAAATCCTGGCTCTGCCACTTACCAGCTATAAGACTGAGTAAGTTATTCAACCTCTCTGGGTCTTGGTTTCCTTTTCAGCCAATGCAGATAAATCTACTAGCTATTTTACAGAGCTATTGTGAAGATTAAGTGATTTGAAACATGTAAAGGTGATTAGAACACAACAGTTCTAATCACATAGTAAAGCACTCATCATTATCATCTTTTACAACAAAGAAAATTTATTTTACCTAAATGTTATAAAAATAAACAAAACTGCTAAATAAGAACATTTTGAATTTCTTGTGATATCAAAGTTACACACACACACACACACACATACACATTAAGTCAGTTAACTGCCTTACAGTATAAATAATAAAAAGAAATTATAGCATCTAAGTTACTCTCTTGTGTTACCACATGGGATTTCAACATGAATCTGGGTCCGGTTCATTTCGACTACCATTATTTAAATTTACAAGTCAGTAAAACCCTTGAGGAAATTTGTTCACTCTCAAAAAGACTTGCTCACTGGAAAACAAAATCTCTTAACTTCTAATGAGAAAAGTTATATTTTTTCTTCCAGTAGCTACAGTGGAACTCCTGCCACATGACTCACTACTATATGTGTTCAGCTAAACCCATGAAAATCCATAATGTTAATCCACATTTCAAGTATGTTTTGAAAATGGTTAGCCTATGAACAGTCATGAGTGTGTAAATAAATATAATTGAGACAAATATCTATATTTTATAAAATGAAAAAGTACATGCTTAACTACATAAACAGATCTTTCTCACAGCTTTACATTATTCCTGAAATTCCATATTTTTTTTTTGAGACAGAGTCTCACTGTGTTGCCCGGGCTAGAGTGCCGTGGTGTCATCCTAGCTCATAGCAACCTCAAACTCCTGGGCTCAAGCGATCCTCCTGCCTTAGCCTCCCGAGTAGCTGGGACTACAGGCATGTGCCACCAGGCCCGGCTAATTTTTTCTGTATAGTTTTAGTTGTCCAATTAATTTCTTTCTAATTTTAGTAGAGATGGGGTCTCGCTCTTGCTCAGGCTGGTTTCAAACTCCTGAGCTCAAACAATCCGCCCGCCTCGGCCTCCCAGAGAGCTAGGATTACAGGTGTGAGCCACCGCGCCCGGCCATGAAATTCCGTATTTTTTAACATTAACTTTCTGGATTGACGTATTTTCTCTACTCTTCAGTTTATTACTTCAGAAGGTAATGTATCACAGATTAATTTATTGGATATTGAAAACAAAGATTTTGAAAAGAAAAACGGGGGAAAAAAAGAATGAATTACCTTAGAGTAAGGTAGTAGATAACCGAGTAATAGCGAAGTCATTATTGGTTCTTTGAAGAATAAAAATTTTAGAGAAATTTGGGTATCTTTTGGTCTTGGGTCAATTGTTAAGAATGTTAGAAAGTGACTCCAATATACTTTCCACTATGTAAATCACTCACAGAATTTTAGCAATGAAGGAACTTTAAAAACATCTAACTCTATCCTTTCATTTATGAGATACAGAGAAAGGTAGGTGCTCTGTTCAATTTGCATAGGTAAAACCCAGGACTTCCAAATCCTTCCTATTTCGTATTCTTTTTGTTGCACAGGGCTGCTCTCAATCATTACCTTGATGTTTCTTTATAGTATACAGAAACTTAATAATTTTAGTTTTATCTCTGTACAGTTTACTAGAAATAGAAGAGCATAAAATGGAGAAGCAAAAGATTCTTCAAAGTTTAAAATAAACTTTACATTTTTATAAAAGAAAGTTACTTTTAAAGACCCCACTTAAGATTTATCAAGTATAAAATCATATTTTACAATGTGCTAATAGATATATATTATATAATAGGCAGTGTGGGTTAGAATTCGGAAAAGCATGAGTTCCTATTTGAGCTCTACCATTTATTAGCTATATATCCAAGAGGCACTGTCAAATAAGAAGGCAATTTAGGAAAGTAATTAGAAATTACTTTGAAAACTAAACAGTGATATATAAATAAAATAAATTATTTTAATACTAATAGTATAACCTCTATTTGTAACCACTTGTTGAATATTATGTACTAGGCTTTGTTGTTTTGAAGGTATAACATGTAATCTACTATGTGAATAACATATTTCAATAAATTATAAAACCCACCACTGTCACTGCTGCTATCAGAAGAGTCCTCCTCTTCCTCAGATTCAGAATAAAATTTCTTAGCAGAATTCTCTTTCTTTGCTTTTCCTGCTGGGGTCCATTCTTTTGCCTGTTTAAATAAACAAATAAAGTAAATGTAAATGAATTCTCATTAGGGATTCAGACTTCTGGCAAATTTAATCATTCATAATACAACTGTGAACTCAAAGTTTAAGACCTCAGTAGAGAAGGCAACTGTTAGAAGTCCTGGCCTTAAGGCTGATTCACTTTACTGGTTACCTCGCTTTCACTTCCCTTCTACCCTCAACCAAAGTTTTCACAACACAGCATCTAGCATAGAATCACAGCATCTAGAATGATTCTATTAGCACCTAGGTCAGATCAAGCTCCTCTTTGGTCTGAAACCCGACAATAGCTCCCCATTTCACTTAAGAGAAAAAGCCAAAGTCCTTACAACAGTTTGCACGGACCTACGTGACCAGCCCTTCGCCACCATCCCTCTACCACCCTCCTGCCCCTTGTCTCCCTGACCTCCTCCAGTTGCTAGCTCCCTCCTGCTCACTCTGCTCCAGCCCCTCCTTTCTGCCCCTCCAAACACCCCACGCATGTTCCTAGCCCAGGGTCTTGCCCCAAGCTGTTCCCAGTTCTAACACTATTTCCCATCCTTTAAAAAAAATCATAGCACTTGTTATTTTCTAATATACTATACAATTTACTTATTTTTTTAATTGTGGTCTATCTTGATAGAATGTAAGCTTCTAGAGAGCAGGGATTTTTTAATATTTTGTACAGCGATATATCCTACCTGTGGCTAGCACTATAAATATTAGTTATATTTATTACCTCTTAAAGACTTCAATATTAAATTCAGAAAATATGTTTGTTTGGATTTAAGAAAAATATGGACTTCAGTGTTTACTTTAGTATTACTAATATGAATACCTTAAAGACTTTAATACAGTATATTAAATTGCTTTTATATTAATAACTGTGACATTATATCAAGAAAAAATTAAATGTTTCCACATATTCTTTTTTAAAGAGCAGAAAAATGTATATATTTTTTAAAAGGCCAAAGTGGTTAAGACTCACTTATTTATTATACTTTTGAGTTTCTACTATGCGCCAGTCTCTGCTAGAAGAGTACATATTTTGTTGTGAAGGAATTTATAGCATGACAGAGGTTCTTATTCAACAATGGTTCTCAACATTGAATGCACATTGGAATCACTTGAGAATGTATTTTTAAATGCTAATACCAACAATAAAAATATTAACACTAAAAAACTAAAACCCGGGGTTCAACTCCTGAGATTTTGATTTAATTGTTCTGGTGCAGGTCTCACATAAATTTGTCATATGATTATAATGTACAACTGCATTTAAAAAACAATGCTCTAAAGGGCTTTAGGTATGTTACTTAAACAGATAAGCTTCAGGAACTTGGAAAATTACTAACTGCACAATAATAGGAAAATGAGTAAAAATTACTTGAATATATTTGAATAAGATAATCGCGTAAGATCAGCAGTACTGCTTTCTTTTATCTGTATTTAAAATTCTGTCTCTAAATATGAATAAAGATAGTATTTTATAAACAAAGGTCTCCTATATTTAGTAAACACATAAGTCTGTATTTTTCTTAAATCCAAATGAACACATTTCTCTGAAGTCTGATAAAAAGTTTGTTGGATCAATTTAGTAAGACTAAATCAACAACTTAGAAAAACTGGGCTTCTTGGCACTCTAGCCCAGGCAACAGAGCCAGACTCTGTCTCAAAAAGAAAAAAAAAGAAAAACTGGGCTTCTGTGCTCAAAGGGGTATATTATCTTGACATGTCCATGGACTCTATATTCATGAAGTTTCAGGTTTTAAAGGGCCAAAAACTAACAATAAAAATATTTTAATTTTCATGATGGTTCTTTATGACTACGACAGTTGTATCATTCTAAGCAAAAGGAATAATAGGAAAAAGAGAAGACGAGAAGAATAGAGAGGTATTAATTTGAGAGTTCCTGTTGATGGATAAAATATTGATAGATGTGTTTATAAAGCAAAATACCCTTTTTTTTTTTTTTTTTGAGACAGAGTCTTGCTTTTGTTGCCTGGACTAGAGTGAGTGCCGTGGGTTCAGCCTAGCTCACAGCAACCTCAAACTCCTGGGCTCAAGCGATCCTTCTGCCTCAGCCTCCCGAGTAGCTGGGACTACAGGCATGCGCCACCATGCCCGGCTAATTTTTTCTATATATTTTTAGTTGTCCGATTAATTTCTTTCTATTTTTAGTAGAAACGGGGTCTCGCTCTTGCTCAGGCTGGTTTCGAACTCCTGAGCTCAAACAATCCGCCCGTCTCGGCCTCCCAGAGTGCTAGGATTACAGGCGTGAACCACCGCGCCCGGCCAGCAAAATACCCTTGATATGCAAACACAGTTTTTCTGTAACTGGAGAATAAAGGACTTTCTAGAACTAAGGTAACAAAATTCTAAAGGATCTTCAAAACTTAATGGTATCGTAATATACATATACATTATATCTGATATCCTGGAAATGGTGGTGTGTAATTCAAAGTGACTTCCAGTGTCAATCTGACTAGGTTCCCTGTTGTTTTGATTAAAGTATCAGATTATCTAAACCTAGGCCATTTTTCTTACTAAGTTATATTTCACAGTAACAAGATTTGACCCCGTAAGATCACTTTACAGTAAAACCAGAATAACATAGTGTATTATGTGTATAAAATACATTAATATGCCTTTGGTGGGGAGGGGGAGTAGAATGAGAGTCAAGAAAGACAGTATGAGCGTTATTCTTCATTGTTACAGCTGCATTTGAAAATAAAACTATCTACATTATTCTTATATTTAATTATATCCTTCATAGTATAATTTTAACCAATATGTCTCAGAGACCAATACATTGAAGCTGTTTTCTGCATGGCATCAACAGATAGTGACGGTTCTCCTCAACCAGATTCCATCAGTTATAAATATTCTCCATAGTAAGCTACCAATTATTAATTTCAGAAATGTAATCCATAAAATGAAAAATCAAATTTGTCCCCATTGAACTGGACAGGTGAAATGAATGTAAGAAAATAGGTTATTTAAGTACTAACTCTATAAGGTAGTTAATGCTTAGAAGGACACATGAAAATGGAAGAAGCTTGCCAACCAGCCAATCTATCAGCCAACATAAGGATACTGCTGAGACTAAATTAAATTGCAGCATTGGTATACATTTCTGATAAGAGGGACCTTTTTTGGGGATGGGGGAGTGGGGCAGCAGGAAGGTGAGGATAGGATGGAAGTAGAGGGAGAATAAAAGGATGGTTCTATTTGGGCCAAAACATTATGTTCCCAATAATGAGAAAGAACAGAATCATAAAAACAACAAACAGGTATAAAAAGAAATTAGGAGAAGGAGTGTATCTGTGGGGAGAATCATAATATTCTCTTCATATTCTAGTATCTGACCAAAAGTTGCATAAATGGGCAATTGTTTTGCAGAGTACTTAAGAGTATGCAGATTTGTGTGAAAATCAACAAACTTAATTGCAAGGAAAAAGAAGTGTAATTAGTTTTCATATTTTTAACTTTTACCTTTTTTGGCCATCTCTAAGTAAGAGACCATTCGTCACAACATGAAAATGACAATGCTAAGTATTAAGAATAATACAGATTTGCAAACAAGCTCAAGCTGCCTCTCCTCATGACATAATAAAATGTGGTAAGATCATGGACAATGGACTCAAACAGACTTGGGTGGGAATCTGGTTCTATCACTTACTAGCTACATGAACTTAGGCAATTTAATATTTAATATTAATATTAGGTTCTATGAGACTTGGCTCTCTCATCTGCAAAATGGGCATAACAATAACCATCACTTAAGATCATTATGAGATTTAAACAAGATAATGTTTGCAAAACATTATCATAGTACCCTGTCAGGGTTTGCTAAATGGAGCTATTTTTAGTTATTATTGCTTCTGGCCATGTTCCAAAGCCAGGATAAGTTGGGGTCATTAAGAGAAACATTTTTTTCTCAGAGGAATCAAATTACAAGGTTATGATCATTATAGAAATTCTATTTTAAGTAATAAAGGTCTTCTTCTATTGCAGTGGTCCCAACCTTTTTGGCATCAGGGACCGGTTTCATGGAAGACAATTTTTCCAGGGATGGTGGAGGGGGGTGGTTTTGGTATCATTCAAGTACATTGTACTTAGTACATTTGCAGCTGCTCCTTAGCACTAGCATCACAGCCTCAGCTCCACCTCAGATCATCAGACATTAGATTTTCATAAGAAGCACACAACCTAGATCCCTCGCACGCGCAGCTTTCAGTTGGGTTCGCGCTCCTATGGGAATATCTGATGTCCAACCCCCATCTGACAGGAGGCGGAGCTCAGACCGTGATGTGAGTGATGGGGAACAACTGTAAATACAGATGAAGCTTTGCTGGCTTGCCCATCACTCACCTCCTGCTGAGTGGCCCGGTTCCTCACAGGCTACAGACCACTACCAGTCTGCGGCCAGGGGAGTTGGGGACCATGGTTCTATTGTACATACAAAAAATAAAAGCAAGGAAGCTAACTCACTTTCCCACAGGAATTAGTGATAAAGAACTTGGTTATGTGAATCCTAGTTCAATATATCTTTTCTACCAGAAAAGTATCCAGAATAGAATTCTTAATTGCTCTTTTTTATTAATTATACTTTAAAAAGTATATTCCACATAATCAATCTCGAACTTCTGGCCTCAAACAGTCCTCCCACCTCCACATCCCAAAGTGCTGGCCTCACAAAGTCAATCTCTAAATACAATCAGAAGGCCCCTCTCCTTATTTTTCTTGTTTATATAAGAAAGAAACAGATAATATTAGAAAAGAATGTTAATTCTTTTATCCTAATGGTCAGCACTTTTTAAAAATCTACAAAAAGTATTTATAGAGTAGGTTTTTAAAATATTAAAGCAACATATTATTCATTTTAATTGTGACCTTGTCAAAGGACATTTTTGGTACACAATGCTCCCTATTTATATTTAGGCTTCATTTAAAACAGGTTCACCAGAAATCCAGAAGAACACTTTGTGTGGTTTTTCTGGAAGAGAACAACAAAAAAAAAAAAAAAAAAATTGAGAAAAAAAATGACAGGAAGCTTCCAATCTCTAAAGTAGAAAAAGCTCAATCCAATGAAATTAAATACCTTAGAAATGTAATCTACACAACTACAAATGTAATTGCGCAAATGTGGGTGGCACTAATGCAGAGAATTCAATTCTCTATTTCCTTGAAGAAAAGGAACAGTACAAGTACAATGACATAGGAATATTATATTTAGTTCCTATAAAGGCACGGTATATCTAACACATTACATTTAGAAATTCTAGAAATACTAGAACAATCTTTTCAATTCTCAACTCTCCTAAAAAGCTTTTCTATAAAGCAATAGTTATCCTAGAATCTCCCACTGTTTGAACAAAATTAATTTCAGAAAGGTCAACTTACCAACTCTATTACTTCTACATTTCGAACTGATGGGTCGGGCGCCACCTCTGGCCAATTAGATAATTCCAGGTACCCAGTAGCTTTAGTGTTGAGAGTGTGAGATAAGGTGCCAAGCTGGAAATGATCTCTATCTATTAAAAACAGAGGAAAATATAAAATAAACAATATAAGCTGTATATAACAGAGAACAGTCATAATCAGAGCTCAAGGTAATTGGTATATTACCTCAAATGTCAAGGAATAAATATAAACTAGGAAGCTCTTCATAGGTCAAAAAACTGATTTCAGTCCATAGATTACAATAATCTCCCCCATAATGGTCAATAAAAAAGCTAATCAGTCAGTGTGTTTAGAGGTGTTGCTCTGAAACGTAGCTTCTCTAAAAATTACTTTACTGTGAATATTAAGAATGACAGCACAGTTAAACAATCCATATACATGTCTTGGCACAAACACATCCAGAATTTTAATAGTTTTTCTACGAAACTGAATTGCTTTTTATTGCTTTACAACAATTAAATAAGAAACAATATGAAAAACAAGGTATATAATCATTTGATTCCAAGTTAATGGCTACTTGTTAAACTGATAAAATATTTAATTAGTCCTTTTAAAAAGCTGCGAAAAATAAGTCATCTTCCCTCTTTGAAAAAGAAACTTAAATAAAAAGGGATATTTTTATAAAATAATTCCTCCTAGAAGTGTTGATATTAGTGTACTTAGAATATGTAATTAATAACACCTCACTATTAAAATGACTTATATTCCTTATAAAATCAATCTACTTAAAATTTAAATAAACACAATGTCTACAAGAAGAACAAAGCTTTCATCTACTGGTTAAACTGTTTACTAAGAATAAAAATAAAATCAAAATTATTTAGGTAAATAAGGTCTATAAAAATATAAACTTTAATATAAAACTTGCTCTGGAGAACAGATGAATCAGTAGAAAACACATTGTTCTTCTATATTTATATATGCTAATCATTTATCTTATTAATACCTAAGAGATAAATTTTAAACACATTAGAAATGGGCAGATACTTCCATAATTTTTTAGATAACACATATTTTACAGTTATAGTCTGATAATAATACCTTTAAAAGGAGACTCAAGCAATGGTGCAGGTTTTTGTGCTAGGAATATTTTTTTGGCATATTTACTTAAAGCTCCACTCTTTTCATTCGGAACAATAAGCTGCCTAATAAATCTTGTACGGTCTCTGATGTCGTAGTTTTGATCATACTTGCCGAGATTTAATATGTACTGGGTAAGCAATTTTGTCTGTTGGAAAAAAACAGAACAGGATGAGAATACAGTTATTTATGATTATTGATAACTCTGGATAAACATATTTAAAGAGATAATAAAAATGAATGGTTATGTCAAACAAATGTTGTTCCGTAGGGAATATGCATTTCTAATGCTGCAAATGGAATTTTGAAGCCAAAGCACATGTCCTCTTCTGTACTGGGGAGGTGAATGCTGAGTACTGAGAAGCAGCCATGTGCTAGATTATTAAACTGCTGAAGTGGAAAGAAAGGCATCATTAAAAAAATAATCATATATGGCAAACCCGCTGAAGGGTCTACGTGAGAATAATGAATGTGGAAATACAACTAAAAACATGGCACTCAAAACTTAATCGGAAAAATATGCAGGACATCAAAACATCAGAGAGTATTAGGGGGCTGGCAAACTGCTTCTCCTGAGGTGTGTTTTATGAAGAGATACTGTCCCTGGCATAAGCAGTGTCTGCACTCTGACTGCACTCAGTTACTTTACCCTGAATTATGACCCATTAAAGCAGACACATGAATCACTGAACTGGATTACTGCAAATTATTTGCAGTGCATTTAGCTGTTACTTTTTCATAAAAGCAAGCTGCTGATGCCCTCTAAAAACCAGGATAAAAGACTTCTTCCATTTTTTCCCCCATGCTGCTTACAGCCTCTAGTAATATTGGTCATTTATTTATTTATGTAAGGGAACAACTTATTAGGGTAGCTTTTATACCGTAATAAGACTTCCTAAGTCAATTTCTGAATGTACTACATTAACATATATTGAGATAATTTTAATAATAATTAAACCAAAATTGAAATGTTAACAAAATAGGTTTGTATTTTAAACTAGTTATTTTATTAAAAAAGCATAGTTTTAACTTAGAAAGCTACACATGTACAATTCTAACTACAAGCCAAATAGGATTCATAATACATGGGAAAAAATAAACTGAGGAACAGTAAATCATTTACATTAGATTAGAACATTTTATACACATTAGAAAACAGATAAAAAATAAAAATCAATCAAGTTTAGGCAGAGCTAAAGGCAATTCTAGAACAGTAAGTCAAAGTACAGGAATGATGTGGTAAACTCTTTTACAATAATAATTGGTTAAGATAATTGATTTGGTTAGAAAGCAACCTTCTTTCAGTAGCAAGATACTTAAAAAGCATCAACCTAGTTTTATTAAAGTAGAATTATAAAAAATACAAGTGAAAATGTTAATAGAGCTATTCTGAATTTGGGAACCAACAATTGCTCTTCACTAATTGCTAGACCATGCAACTACAGATAAGAAAAATTCTATAATTCATTTTTTAAAGACAATTAGCAAAATATTCAGCCAATGAGTACTACAACTCAAAACCAGCTTAAACAGAAAAGTGGTACACTCAACTGTGTAATTAACTTGCTGGGAAAACCTGGGAAACTCACTTAACCATTAGTTTTCTCAAATGTAGAGTGAGAATTTACAACTAGGTTAACTTTAAAGTTGATTTGAGTGTTAAGATTTATAATCTACAACTAAAATAAATCAGAGAAAGTAAGTCTCCTAATTGCAATGATTTATTTTGAGCTAGCAGAGTGACACATTTTGCTTGTATTTCCTATCCCCAAAATTAATTTTAGAAAATTAAACTTTTTCAATGTACCAACAATTTTGAGAGTGAGATAGGGTATCTAAAGTAACCAAAATTATATGATTTTAAAATATATATTAACTATAAAATTTATTATCTTGGTAAGCTTATAAAAATAATTCTATCAAAATGTATTTTCAAAAATAAAATTCTTTCTAAAATATATAAGCATATCTGTGCACAATGATGCATTAAAAATACAAGCAGAATAATTATTCACTGCACATTCATATACTTTTAGCCAGTTTCTTCATTGTATCTATTCCTAGTATCAAGCAAGGCTTTGGTGTTTCTCTAGACAATGTAGTTTTATATGGTCTTATTATTTTTTAAGTTTAAAAAAATAAAACTGCTTACAATCTTTTTTAAATTTTATGATTAGTAATTATGAAATTGTTGACATTTTCAACTTACTATTCTTTGTAGACAATAATATTCTAATGGAATAAATGCCTCCACCCTTTTTTTTTTTAAAAAAAAAACACAGGGTCTTCCTCTGTTCCCCAGGCTGGAGTGCAGTGGCACAATCATATCTCCCCACAGCCTGGAACTCCTGGGCTCAAGTGATCCTCTTGCCTCAGCCTCCTGAGTAGCTGGGACTGCAGGTGTGTACCACAACTCTCAGCTAATTTTTGAATTTTTTTTTTGTAAAGGCAGGGTCTTTCTATGTTGCTTAGGCTGGTCTTGAACTCTGGGCCTCTAGTGATACTCTCTCCTTGGCGTCCCAAAGTGCTAGGATTATAGGTGTAAGCCACCGCACCCAGCTGAAAATATCCTCTTTACTGTATTTCTTAACCACCTGGTAAGTGCAGAAAAAATTCTGTTGAATGAAGGATATTCTCAATTCTTTTTTTAAGTTGAAATCTATAAATAATTCAAATCCAAATATTTAACTTCCCTCCTTCTAGTCAATGAACATTCTTTTCATAATTACTTATCATTTTTTAGATACCATAAAACCAACTGCCTTAATTTCAATTCATTCTAATACAAAATATAAACTTATCTAATTAAAAATAAAAGCTCCATCAAAAGAGTCTTCAAAATAGATGAAATAGTACAAATCACAGAAATTCCCAATTAAATCTTGAGCTCTCACCATTTAATTTGTTCAGTTCTTCCCTTGTTTTTAAGAGATAAATTTCAAAGTCTTCTTGTTTGTAAGATTTGTTTCCAAGAATTTTTATTTGCTAAAATTCTCAAAAAACTGAAGGTTTTTGGCATTCTACTGATGACACTTTAAAGATTTCCAAATGATTTTTGAACCAAAACTTAATATACAGAAGATTCAGCTATCAATTAAAAAAACTTAAGCCAACATAAGACACTTAGGTTAATTTATAAAGCAGTTCTTCACAAAATCATATTTCTAAAATCCTGTTGGTAATATGCAACAAAGAGAATAAGTTGCATATTGTTATGCTGAAGTAAGTTTTTTTAGCATCAGCTTCATCACAAGAATTTTGCAGGACAGTTAAATGTATAAATCAGTTTAAGCAAATCTGACCACTACAATTTTACTTCAACCGACTGAACAAGCAGAGTTTGTTTACATGTACCGCAACCAATTCCCAAAACATTTCTGTTCCATAGTTTTCTTAATTGAATAAGAACACTGATAGTACCCATGGCAACATTCTTTCAGCAAAAACAAATAATTTTATCTTCAATGTTGGGCCTTTTAATTTACAACATTTACAGAATTTTTGACAGAATAAACTTCCAAAGGCTTTACTTTGTTCCCATTTACAGCACCGACAGAGAACAAACATAAAAATACTTTGAGTGAAAAAAGTCTATTATTGGAATTAATTGATTTTCTATTTGAAAACCTGCAGTGTGTGGCCTTTTTTCTACTGATGGAGCCAACACATTAACAGCTACTGTTTCAGTTTTCATATGTGTAAAAGCATCCTTGGAATAAAAAGTGAAAAACTTATTTTTAAAAAGTCATTTTATGTAAATTAGATCATCTTTTATATAAAGTTATATAAACATCTTCCATACCCATATGTGTTAAAGTATCATCTTGAGGAATAATCTTCTTAAAAATAACTTCTAACTTTTTAAATAGACGTTGATCCTTTTTTAGCAGATCTGTTATCTTCTGTTGTTGTGTGGTCAGTGAGTGGTATCACTTTAACTCTCATGGTGAATGGTAAATGTCAACAAATATTTTGTGCATGTTAAGTACTGAATGGAAATTTAATACTTCTTCATTAAATATACATTTCCATTCAAAAATGTAGTGCTGATGAGTTTATAACAAAATAAAAACAGAGCTCCCAAGTAATAAAATAAAGTAAGTTTTAGATTTACACTTTGCAATTTGACCACTCTCTTTAATGATCTATAGCAGGAAGGTTTAGTTGTTACCTCCTGCACATATTTCACCTATAACCAAGCTCTAACTTCCCATCTTTCCCTCTGAGTCCTTTCACTGGCAGTCTGGAGCTTCATGCATCTCACAGGCCATGGCACCACTTGCTGGTACATCAAGTTGCTGCCAAATGAAACACTGTTAAGTATTCATCTCACCACTACCAGGAAAGTGAAAGACAGCTTTTCCCACCTGCTTTGTCAGAGTGTACTTCTTTTTACAGCACACACCCTGCATGCTGGTCTAAAAGTTAGTTAAGTTACATCCAGAATGGGTTGGAAAATGAGTCTTTCAGATTTAAAATATTTCACATATTAAAATGAAATCTCTGTTCACTGCACTTGTGTTTTACATGTCACTAAACAGAACCATGGGAGAAGTTCAAAGTGGAGGTCTACAAATTTACTGTCTTATTTTAATGCAACTATTAATAATATTACTTCATTAAAAATTTGGGACAAATCCTAAACTGGATGAGACACTTAGGTAACAGGCATAATTAGATCTGTCCAGGGAAACTGTTATGAAGAATATAGACAATCATGACATTTGAGTATCACCAGAGGCTCAATCCAAAACCAGATGGAAAATTAAACAGTACTTTAAAATTTGTTTTATTCATAAATTACACAAGATAAGCAAATAGAATATACTATCATTAACAGAAATATTCAATATTGTATATACAGCTATTTATTAAATTTTGATTTCAGATTAATTTTCCTACTTAGATTTAAGGAACCATTACCAGTACCAACTAATGACTAATGCTATCCAGACACTATTTACAGCAATTACATTCTCTTCAGATTGACTCTATTACTGTGACATGGAAAATGAATTTTGGGAGTGCTATATAAAAATTAAGAAGTTCATTATTTAAAAGACTTCTCAAAATATGGGTATCATATTTTTACCTAAATACTCTGACAAGTAATAAACTAGTAAAAATGCTTAACAATGGATTTCTTCT